AAGTTTCTGGAAGGTAGCCGAGAGGATACTGAAGAAGAGGGAATGCAGGAATGAGGGAGGGCGGGGCAGCTGCACACCTCCCTGAATGGGAACAAAGTCTGCGGGAGGAGGGCCGGGAAGGAGAGCTGGGGGGGTGGCCAGCCAGCTGAAGTGGGAAGAGGGGGGACACAGCTGGCTTAGACGTTGTCCATTGTCTTTCATCGTGACGGGTCTGTCAGCAAGTAATTGGAACTTTCAGGGCCACATTTTCCCAACTGCAAAATGAGGGAATTTGACTTAAGTTTTAAAAACAAATAAACCAACATACAACCCAACGCTGATGCTCCAACTCAGAGTTTCTCACCTAGCGAGTTAGGCCACTGCTACAGTGCCCAGCAAATGCCCACGCTGATCCCCTAGCCCTGGGGCTGTGGGAGGTACAGGGCAGGGGGCCGACTCTCCAGTCCCCAGGCCCGTCGCTCTGCCCCCCACCTCCGCAGCCTCTGCAATTGAGTTGCCCAAGTGTGAGGCAATGGGAAAGCAAGTTACCGTTCTCATGTTTTAGGTGGTGAAAAGGTTGGGGGCATTGCAGAGTGCAAGGCCACCCACAGGTTTAGGATGTGGGGCTTGTGGTGGTTTTGAAAGGACGGGCTTCCTTTCCAACATTGCCCAAGCCCCCTCCGCCCTCTCCAGCGGCTGTTTCCTTCTGGAACGCAGCTGCCCGGCACAGGCTGGGGGCCAGTTCCTTGCTTTCGATTCTTCCTGAAGGCAGCAAGGATCAGCCCAGGAGGTGGCCTCCACGGCTGTCGGAACAGGATCTGGGGGACAGTTTAGGTGCGTTGTTGGATGGGTGGTGGATGTCAAAGATAATGGTGGTTTCCTGTACAAAGGTGACACTGCCTCCCCTACCCCCTCTAAGGTCAAAAACCATGCGCATGAGCTGTCCCTTGGGGCAGCAGCTTTGTGCCAGGGCTGTTTGGGCCATGTCGACCCCAGGATACAGTCCTTGTCACACCTGTGTAACTGAAGGGTATCTGGGCTTGAAAGAAGGGCTGTTTATTTATTTTTTTCTTTAATCCTCACCCAAGGATATGTTTAGAGAGAAGAAGAAGAAGAGAGAGAGAGGGGGAGAGAGAGAGAGAGAGAGAGAGAGAGAAATCATCAAACAGTTGCCTCCTTTTGGTGTATGTACGATGCTCTGACAAGTCACCAGGCCAGGGCAGAAGAGCTGTTTAAAACAAACAAAAAAAACTATCTGCAAATTCTTAGCTGCATTAAATCGAGATTTCTCTAGTCTATGCAAACAAAGCAAGACACAGAAATAAATTGGATGCTGGGGTTGATAATATATCAATTCTTATCCATAAACTTAGATTTAAAATGCTCTCTACTTATTGAAACCGTTTCAGTGTTCTCACTGATTTGCTTTGAAAGATATTTGAACTCATAAAATACAGTAATAAAATACTTTTATCTGTTTTTATAGAGCAAGAGTCCCACATAACATTGTGTCTCATAAACTGAAAACCGCTGGTATAGTGCAAAGAGCATGGATGATGGAACGAGACCCGAGTCAAATCCTTGGCCCAGCCACTCAGGACTGATAAGCTATGGGCACATCGCATGCCATTTGCCCGCCAGGCCTCCAGGTCTAGATCTACAAACTGGAGCCAACCATGCCTACTTAACAGGGATTTTTATCTGGTGAGATATCATGTACCTGAGGCAATACTGTCAGTAACACTCCCTCTCTCCCTATCCCCCAGTGTACAGATAGCACTGAATGGCCCAGACCCCTCAGCCCCCTCCTGACAAAGAAATGGTCTGCATGCCAGACAGTCCCTGGGAGGTGCTAAGGCCCAGGGCTAAACCGGCCTGACCTTAACCAGCATCAGCGCCCTCCACTGACAACAGAGCCAGCCAACCTCGGGACCCTTTCAGAGCAGGGCCAGCCACACGCCGCCAGCAGGGGTATGAGGTTGTGGGGTGTCTCCGCGTGTGAGCTTTTCTTTCCACAATGTTGGATGTTTTCTCTGCTCGCCTGCTAACGCTCCTCAGTGGCTGCTCCAGCAGCCCAGTGACAGCTCCTGAAGGGGGTGAGGAACCCCTGTGGGCTGTGGCCCTGTGGCAGCTGGGTACCCCCTCCGAGAAGTCCTTCCTGTTCCATGGGCGCAAGGCCAAGCCGAAGCTGGCACTTCCTGCCACTTCACCTGGTACCCCTGAAAGTTGTAGCCCACTTTGCAAATCCTTTTCTTGGCCCCAAAAGTTGATGGAGATTTGTTGAGAAGCTGCTCTTAATTTCTCATTTGTTGAAAAATGACCCAAAGCAGGAGGAGGCCGGTAATTGTGCAAATTCCATTTGCTTATTGAGCAGAAGCTACCAGATCCCTCAGATTAAGTGATAAACATTCCTAGGGGACAAGGCACGGAACAGTTTTCATTTTAATACTACTGCATTGCCCAGGACTCCGGCATCACTAACCCCAAAGGGGACTGGGAGGGCCAGCTGACTGCAGGGATCCAGCCGGCCTTGGGAAAGCTCTCCGCTTCCCTGAAGGGCAACTGTAGTCATCCAGATAGCGGGTCAACCTCAGGCTTCCCCGCCTGCCCCAAGATCATCTTGCTTAGAGATTTTGGGGCATTGTTGGTTAAAAAAAAAAAAAAGAGTTCAGTCAAGAATTTTATCCTTGCTAGGAATGGCCACTTGAAGTCTGGTCTGGGGACACCAGACACTGTATCTGAAAGAAGTTTTTTGGAAGGAAGCCTTCAGCAACCCTCCTCATTTGCATGTAGAGGAAAGGTGCCGCGTTTCCCACAAGGGCAGCCCAGCCGCCACCGCTGGGAGGGAGGACGCGCTCGTCTTGGTGTCCGCGGGTTCATCCCTCAATGCTACGGGAACGGCAGCTGCCAGGGCAAGAGGAAGAGAGGATGGAGAGCCTTTTCAAAGTCTCGAGCAAGTTGGATACCATAATCATGACCTAAAAAGGCAAAGACTGGACATTCTGATGCTTGCTTCGATGCAGCTTGGTTCAAGCCTGCCAGCCACCTGGTGTTACACACCCACCACCCCGTCTGGCCAGCCTGTGGCTCGGCTTGGTGAGTGACAATGAACACATCACATCACATACTGCTTCATGGCTTCCAGAGATGTGCATACGACCTGGTCTTGTGTGAACTTCATAGCCCAATTGATTATGATCTGCTTTCACAGATTTTTTTTCATTTTTTTTAAAATTAATTTTCGAGAGAGAAGAAGGGAGAGGGAGAGAAACATTGATCAGCTGCCTCCTGCATGCCCACTACTGGGCATCGAGTGCAACCCAGGCGTGTGTGCTGACCAGGAGTTCAACCAGGGACCTCTCGGTGCTATGATCAACCACTGAGTCCCACTGGCCAGAGCCCCCTTTCACAGATCTTAAAAACTGAGGCTCAGAACCAGACTTGCAGACCAGGTGTTCTGGAGGAGCCTCCGATCCCAGGCTGCTTTTGTTCCCAGTGGACACGTCTTCATATCCCACAGCTGACGCCCGGCTGTGCAGGCGGAGACCTCGCGGGTAAATCCGCTTGCCTCGCTCTTCCAGGTGGGTTATATGAAGAGTTTCTTTTCTCACCAGATCCATCCCTGGCTACTCTGTTAATGCAGGGAGCTGGTGAAAATCAAGGATGGAAACTCGGTAATGATCCCGAAGCCAACCTAATGGAAGCGCTGCAACAGATTTTCCACTGCTGGGAGAAGCATCAGACTTCCCCAGAAGTTCAATGCCCACCCAGTTATTAAGGAAACAGGATTAACTTACTTCGTGCAGGAGAGAAATCCCTTGGTAGTCACATGGAAAAGTAGACCGTGATTGGAACCGTGAGGCGGAGAAAGGAGTCAACAGGACAGAAACTCAGAGCGCGAGGTTTCCAAATTAGCAGCAGCGCACTTCAGATGTTCCACCGCAGCGGGTCGCGCCAGGCCCCGCCGGTACCTCGCGGTGTTCTGTGCACTGCCTCCTCAGGCGTCAGGGAAGGGGCACATGGTCACCAGGGAGAAGGGCAGACGCCCAGAGGGGAGCCCAAGGTTCACGGGCTGGCTAATTCTTTCCTATAGTCCATTCTGTTTTCTGTCAACAGTAAGGAAATACATCCTAGCAAATGACATCCAGTAATGCTTTAATTAACTGCAGTATTTCATGCTCCAATATGCACCAAGAAATTACTTCCAGATGGGGAAAATGAAAGCGATTTACATGAAAAAGCAATCTATTTTAAGGAAACGGATCTGTCCCACAGGTATAGGACTTCCAGGGTCCGGGAGGCTATCTACTCTGATAACTGCAAGAATGAGACTGGAAATTTTTACTTACTATACAAAATACAACGGTGTTCTTTACCCCGCTGGCTTCGCACTTGCCCGGTTTCCAAGGCATTGTTCGGGTGGCCCAGCGCAGTGCTCGTAACGTTATTTTTAGCCATTGCACTTGGAATAGACACAACGTGTGAAACACACTTTCACCCTCGAGCAAAGCTGGTTGCTTTGGAGATTTCGCTTCCTGGGAAGAGCAACTGCACCTCCAGCTGTGAGCGTCGGCATTTTCCTTAACATCCATGGGCAGGGCACGCGCGTTCCCGTTCCCTCGCCCCACGCAGCTCAGGGTGAGCTGGTGTCACACCCCTCGCATGGGCAGCTGCCTGACCTGCTCGCCGCCCGTCGCCCCACCACCGTCACCCTGGTCTCTGGCAGTCTGCTCTTGGTCCTCTTTGGTCTGCGCCAGGGAGTCACCCTCGCATGGGAAAGGGGGCACCGTTTTCGGGGTGGTGGGCAGGTCCCAGGGACTGGGTCTTTGTTCTTCAAGAGGGAGGAGTGGTGATCGTTAGCCTCAATGAGCACTGATCTGGGGGGCAAAACACCCTCCCTTGGTTCCCGGTGAAGATGCAAACAGCGCTGTCCCCATCCTGGGCACCTCGAAGCCGGCTCTCAGAAGTCTCTCCACAATAAGAGCAGCAGTGAACTCTTTATCAGTTGTAAATGACTCATATTTATTTTAACCACATAAAGTGATTTCAAGGCTTTTATAAGGGGCTACAGAAAGAGGAATGAACAATATCTGAGTCTAGCTCTTAATAACAGTAATTAGCTACCATTTTTAATCAATGTCTGCTTCTTTATATATGTTATTCCAACATGACAGTAATAAATAAACCTTCCTTTGGGGGCTGGCTCATCAGAACGGGACGAATCCCCGTCAGCATGGGACAGCACAGTTTCTGGCAGGGTCCCGACTAGCCACACGAGTTACATGAAAGCGGCTGGCTATCAGCAAAGCGTCTTCACCACGGCGATCACAGTTTAATTGTACAGTAATTTCACTTGCTCAGAGAGCCGGCAAGTTACACATTTATGAAAATGTCTACAGGAACCGTTCGATACAGCTAATTTCTCTCTACTGCAATGGTTCTTAATGAGGAGGACACATTACAATCACTTGTAGGACTTTTCAACCTTATGGCCAGGCCCCTCCGGACTTACTCAGTCTCCAGGCAGCTGTATCGGTGACAGGAGCCCCGTGACCTGGAGGCACTCCCTCCGCTGAGACCCATGCTCTCCTCTGGGGACGCACTCGCAGCGCTCGGGCCCCATCAGTGAGACATTTAACATGCAGCTTCTGCCGACATCCGCTGACTCCTTGGAGGTTACTGACAGTATAATAAATCAACAGAGCAACTTCCCTGGCTGTAACCACCAATCAGCGGAACACAGGGCTTGACATTTCAATGCCACTATGGAGACATCCAGAAAATGACTCCCCACGAACGAACCAAAAAGGAAGTATGGATCTGAAAACACTGAGTGGCGAGAACCAGGTGCAGCAGCCCCCGGGTTTTCCTGGCTTCCCAGATCGATGACAGATGGCTGCAGTGAGCGTGCTGTTTGGAGACCGGCCACTGTCCCTTCTCGCACAAGCGGGCGGAGGACATAACCTCCCTTGGTGCTAGCCCGTTAACCTCCCCGGACAGACGCGGGCACCCTGAAATCCCTCGGGCTGCCTCGGCTCTCCCCTCCCTCCCCACAGGCCTGCACTTTTCCTATTGAGCCATCTTTTCCTAACTGAGCTCAGCTAAAAGCCACACCTCTTTCTTCCACCATATCCTCTCTCCTCGGTGTTCCTGAGTCTGAGATGCTCACCACATGAGTCAGACCGACCAGCAGGAGTAGGCTGGAGGCTGATGGAGAAACGAGGCCAGGAGAACGCGGGGCCGATGGGCTGAGTGGGGGCGAGAGGCCGACAGAGGGAAGGAGCAGGCGCCGAGGGGTCACAGGGGGAGGGCGGGAGACACGTCGGCTTCTGGGCAGGTTTTCAAGCCTTCACGTTTCCCACCTGACGGCTGTCACAAGTTTCATGAACGTTTAGGAAACGTCCTCTAACCTGAGTGTCATCTGCTGCCCCAGCTTTATCCTGAGGCCTGGTCTGGGCACTCTGTCAGAAGCTCACCTTCCTCCTCAGCCTCGCTCTACCTGGCCGACAGATTGTTCCTACTTCCCGAACCTGCGCTGTGACTCCGGGTCCCTGCAGCCGGGTCACAGCGGACGAGGCTTGCTTTCCAGGGAACAGGGCCACTGTGACCGTTCTCCTGACGCAGGCTGACGGGTGGAGCCCGTGAGGCAACTCTCCTGCGCAGCTGCCTGGCCCCGGGCCGCGGGGGCGCACGGGCAGGCCAGGTTCTGAGGCGGTGCTCAAGGTCAGTGCCCGGTTCCCAGGTCCACGGACCTGGGCTCTTTATCACTGGTGATAAAGTAACATGTCCGTCTGGCACCATACATCGCCTTTGCTGGTTTCAGATCAATTCTACAGTGTTTTGGATTTGAGGACGAACGGGTAGGAAGGGAGTTAGAGGGCACAGGCGTCCTGGGCTGCAGATCAATTCTACAGTGTTTTGGATTTGAGGACGAACGGGTAGGAAGGGAGTTAGAGGGCACAGGCGTCCTGGGCTGCCCATCGCTTCATCGGAGGAGAACGCCGAGGACAGTTTCTAGGAAACTTCCTGGTTTCCCTTCACAGAGGGCGCTCCCTCCCCTAAGTCAGGCGCAGGGTGGGAATAAAGAAATGGAGAAAATACCTCACATCACACAGCGAGTGTGCCAAGCTTAGAAGCCTCTCTCCCAGTCAGATGTGGGTCTGCCCCACACCCAGGCCAGGAGCCCATGGCACAGAGGGCACCTGCGTCCGAGGCCCGGCACACACGTCCCCCCGGGCGGGAGGCACAGAGGCATTGTTTCTGGGATGCACACAGAGAGGGAACCGGAAATTAATGAGTCGTGAGGATACAGGGAGAGATGGGCCACGTCGAAAAGCACCAGAAGCAAAGTATGCTCCCAAACTGAGCTTTACGTGGAAGCGAGCGCCTGCTTCCAGGTCCTTCATAAAGCAAGGCTGGCTTCCTGCACCTGTACCTGCCACTTCATTCACTCGGGCCTAGCGCCAGCCTCAAGCAGCAGCAGATGCAGGAGGGTGAGATCCAAGCTTTGTCACCCAAGCTGCCCAGAAGGCGCATGTGAGGAACCCACGTGCCAGAGAGTGTGACTGCAGAGGGAGGGAGGCTGCGGAGTCCATGACATTGGGACCGTGGAGAGCAGCCCCCCACCCAGCGCTGCCTCTGCCGCAGGAACCAGAGACCACTGAAACTGCCTTGTGACAGCCTGCCCCTTACCTGGCTTCTCCCATTAGGACAGGGATTAAGAGAGGGAATGAGAGACACACATCAACCACCCAAATGTCCCAGGAAGTTGCAACACTGACCATCTGAGTCAGGGGGAGCACAGGAGGGGTGGGGGCTTCCAGGGAGCTACGCTCCTACAGTCTCTTTTTAATTAGTTTCTCCAGTTTGCGGATGCGAGAGGATTCCTGTTCCGGCGTGGGAGCCAGCAGCGACAGGGAGCTGGCGCCCTCCGGCCCGGCGGGCGGCGTGGGGAGCCTCTGGCGGAAGAGCTCCAGCATGCTGCTCTGCTCGCTCCTCTTCAGTCCCTGGGTGGAGAGAGAGCACAGTGTGAAGTCTGGCCAGGAAGGCCTAAGGGGCAAGTGCAGCATCTGGGGTGCTCTCAGCCGAGGGCTGCAAACCGCACAATACTCTGGGCTGACGGCTGACACTCAGCAGAGGAAAGAAAGATAGAAGGGTAGGGGAGGAGGAAGAAGTTGAGAGAAGAAAGGACATGTAAACAGGCCGGGGAAGGTAAAACTTTCTTCAGTCCATTCCTTCCACTGAGCATGGTTCTCGGTGGGGCATGGAGCAATCAGCAAGTTCACATGCCTGTATCCTCCTCCTCACAAGGCCTCTTGGCATGCGGTTTGCGGCAGGGGGCCAGGCACGTGCACCCCGAGAAAGCTCCCCAGGGCCCGTGTCCCACTCCCCCCTGTCAGGAACCACTGGGGTGAGAAGCCCGTGCATGTGGACAACACAAGACCCTGAATTAACCTTCATGTCCAGTATCTTCTGGAAGGTTTCCGTGTTGCAGTCCGTGAGGAGTTTGATGTAGTTGTCAACAAATACCACCGAGGGTTCATGAGGGGCCATCACAACCTACAAGGGAGAGAGACAAGAGCAGGTGCCCACGTCAGCTCACGACTGGAGGGCCCGCCGCACTGTGAGCTGCCCACAGACAGAGAGACAGGCTTACAGCAGCAGCAACCTCAGCCGTGGGAACCCGACGGGAACCCATCGCCACGTCAGTTCAGTCAATGCTCCTAAATGTGCTGAGTCACAAACACCACCTGGACTGCTTTTTATGTGCAGATTCCCGAGTCCTCCTCTGAAGATTCTGAGGGCCTGAGTGGGGTCCCATGTGATTTTTAAAATATCAGGACCATTTTGGAAATGCTATGTTTAGAGGGTTTCCTGTTTGAGAGGTTTCGTGGTACCTGCTCCTTGTGTCTCGACATATCATTGTTCCTGAGGACTGGTCAGCAAAGGCACCGATTTAAGTAGATTATCTCAAAATCCAAACCCCTAAAAGCTGCCTCACTCTTTTCAAGACTCAGAGTCTGGAATTTCATTTAATTCCATTCAAGCAACATATACGCAGGAGGACGGTGATGGCGTCCCGATGCTCACATTCGTTCCCACTTGGTTTGGAAATGCAGTGTCTGACTCTCTTCCTCCAGCCACTGGCTTTGTTTTGAATTCCTGAGCATGCAACTCAGAGCGGCGAGGAGTAGTTCAGGCAGAAATTCTCTGCAGAAACGTCTAAATGTCATTCTTTCATTTCAAAGCACAACATTCATGAAACAAAGATCGAGTCACATTTTTTCAATAAACATGAAACTTGAATGACTTTTTCAGCCATTAGAATATACTCAAGATTGTTTTCCTGTCAGGGAACAAAATCAAGGTCGTTTCAACATGTGTTTGCTATCACACTAATCTGGGAAAACTGGTGTTAATTATTTCATAAATATTTGTACCTAAGTACACATCCACTGAGGGAAGTGTTTTATTATACTTAGGAAACATGGAGAAAATAGATGCTATTTGGGAAAAGTTTAAAAAGAAAAAGGAAAAACATTCCCTGCAGAGATTTCCAAACTCTGCCCGTGAACCAGCTGCAGCAGACAAGGATCAGCGCTGCTTCCAGCTCCTCAGGCCACAAGCGCAAGGTCTGGGAGGACCCTCTGCTGGCCCCACGGCTGCCTCAGCTCCCACTGCTCCTTCTTCCTCCTGCTGTCACCAGGTCATTCTGTTTGGGAGACAGACCTGAAGAGCCTGCAGGCCCAGGAAATGTTAATTTCATGATAGTTCCATTGGTTCTCTAGTTTTGTCCCTTCTTCTCAACAAGTACAGGTGAAAATCAGATGCAGGTGCCTAAAGCCTCAGGCATTCGCGACATCACCCCCCAGATAACAGTTTGTTCACTGGAGGCTTAGAAAGCCCATTGCTGATTGAGCCAGTTACAGAAACATCTGTTCGGCGTTCTTGTGAAGTTGCCGAGTTTGGAAAGCCGAAGCGGCTTATGTGAAAGGGAGTGACTGACAGGTGGGCTGGAAACTCCTGCTGAGAAGCAGAGACCCTTAACTTAGACACTGATTCGCGGAGATACCCTGCCTAATTTCCAACCTCGGCCCAATCTCATTACAAGGGAATCCTATGACAACGGAGAATTCATTTGTCAGGAAGATTTACTGAGCCCCAAGGAACTGTCTACTGATTTTCAACAATGTCTGATTAGGCTAAAATCTAGTCCCACCAAAGAATACGGACGATCCTTTGTGACCTGTGGGGACAGGCCCTGATCTGTGCTTCAAAACCAGCCCCTTTAACAGGAACCCAGGAAGACACAAGCCCACCTTGAGGATCATCTCCGCCCGGGTCATGCCTTTCACAACAATCTTGGTGTAACTGGCAGGCGCTTTCCTCACCACCTGTGAGCCAATGGAAGGTAGATCGAGCAGGACCATCTTCAGGGAATGGGTGTCCAGCAGCAGCTGTGGGAGCGAAGCAGAATCGTACTCGTCACTTCCTATGGACACAACACCTAGTGCACCCATGCCGATTGGTAACAGTTCCCTGATTTTTTTTTTTACTTCCTCACCCAAGGGCATTTTTCCATTTATCATCAGCTAGAGTAGCAGGGAGGGAGAGACACAGACAGAGAAGCATCAATGTGATAGAGCCACATTCCCACACGACCCCACCAGGGCAGGGGGTGAACCGCAACCGAGGTGCATGCCCTTGACCAGAATCGAACCCGAGACTTATTGATTCGCAGGCCGATGCTCTAACTGCTGAGCAAAACCAGCCAGAGCCATTTTCCTGATTTTAAATGTAATAATTCTCACTAGAGAAAACTTAGAAAATAAAACAAATATAAAAGGAAAAACATTAGTTATAATGCCCATCACCCAGGAAAAAAAATAACAAGAAGCCATGGTAAAAATTTGGTATTATTCCTACCAGTCTGTGTATATGTATATAAAAACTAGAATTACACTGTACATAGTTTTATGACCTGTTTTTTTCCATTCAATATAAGAAATTTTTGAATTCTATTTTTCCATCTTAGCAGTCTTTCAAAATAGCATGATTTATGATGGCTATACAGTACTCTGTGTGTGTGTGTGTGTGTAACTTTAACATATTTAACCATTCCCTTACAATTTGTATCTAGATTTTTATTTTTATAAATAATGAGTGCTGTGCTGAACGACTTTGTACATGTAATCCCAGGTCTATCAATGGCATTTCCTTAGGGGGCAGCCTTTGGGACAGATCAAAGCAAAGGACATTTTGAGGCTCTTGATACATATCTTGAACGGCTTTCCAAATGGAACGCACCTACTCACACCTGCCAGTAGTGCAGACAGCACCCTCACTGGCACTGAAAACTGATAAAAATCTCGCTTATTCAACAGGCAAAAATGGTACCCAGTATTGCTGTATTTTGAATTTCTCTGAATGCTAGTGAGGATATAGAAGATTAAACCAAATTTAAACACTTGTCTCTGAGAACAATCTGCCCTTTTTGGTTGTTGTTTCTCTTCAATGCTAATTGTTTGGAAGGATATTAACTTTCCTGATTGCCAGGAATGATGCTAGAAATGTTTCACCTCAATTAGTCTTTAAAACACCCTGGCCTGTAGGTGTTTATGGTTCCTATTTTATAGATAAGAAAATCAGAGATCCAGAGGTTAAATAACTTGCTCAAAGTATCTGCAGGATGGATGGGGTCAGATGAGGAGGTGGGCAGGCTGCAGGGCCCTCTCCAGCTGCCCAAGTTCAGTGGCCCAGGGCAGTGCTGGCTTAGGTCTCACCCTGCTTCCTGCTCACTCCAGGTGTACTGCTCACCGGCGGCTGCTCTTGGCAACCAGGGGGCACCGAAATGGCTGAAGCCCGTTCAGAGAGTTTATGAGAATGGAACACACGTACACCAACCAGACAAAGGCAGCAGTGGAGTGCCAGTCCCACCACTACCACCGCCGCAGCTCTGGTTCAGGACGAGGCTTGCTGTGTCTGCCGTGGCCTGCTGCTCTCAGAAAGCCTTGCATCATTCCATCAAACAAGACCACTCGAGGCTGCAGGATACCCGCATGCCCTCATTCTGCCTGTACTTTCCTATGGACAGGAGAAGTAATGACTAAAGACAGACACTATGAATGGTCACAGTGATTATAATATTGATAATGGCATAAAATTTGGAGAATGTATCAACGTTTTTCTTGGAATAACTTAAATGGAAATATTACTTTCAAAAGATGGTGAGGTATTGACAAACTGATTCTAAGGTTTATATGGAGATACAAAAGACCCCAAACAGCCAACACAATATTGAAGAAGAAGAACAAAGTTGGAGAACTGACATCACCCTGACTTCAAGACTTATTATACAGGTACAGTAATTAAGACAGCATGGTATTGGTAAAAGAACAGACAAACACATCAATAGAGCAGAAGAGACAGCCCGGAAATAGACCCACACAAATACAGTAAACAAGTCTTTCACAAAGGAGCAAGGCAATACAACGGAGCAAAAACAGTCTTTTCAACAAATGCTCCAGGAACAACTGGACAACCACATGCAAAAATGAAAAAGAACAGACTTTACACCCTTCTCAAAAATTAATTTAAAATGGATCACATAGCCCTGGCCAGTTTTGCTTAGTGGTTAGAGCGTTGGTCCACAGACCAAAGGGTCATGAGTTTGATTCTCGGTTAAGGGCACATATCTGGATTGCAGGTTTGATCCCCAGCCCTGGTCAGGGTCATGCGGGAGGCAACCATTTGATGTGTCTCTCTCACATCGATGTCTCTCTCTCTCTCCCTCTCCCCTCCTCCCTCCCTTCCACTCTATCTAAAAATCAATGGAACTCTGGCCGGTTTGACTCAGCAGTTAGAGTGTCGGTCTGTGGTCCAGAGAGACCCGAGTTCGGTTCCTGCTAAGGGCACGTACCTTGGTTGCAGTTTGTCCCTGGCCCTGGTTGGGTCGTGCGGCTGGCAGCCACTCGATGTGTCCCTTTCACATCAATGTTTCTCTCTCTCTCTCTTCCTCCCTTTCCCTCCCACTCTATCTGAACAAAAAATGGAAAAATGTCCTCGGGTGAGGATTAAATAAATAAATAAATGGAAAAATATCCTTAGGTGAGGATTAACAGCAACAACAAAATAATAAATAAAATGGATCACAAACCTAAATGTAAAATACAAAACTAGAAGATAACATAGGAGAAAACCTAGATGACCTTGGGTACGGTGATGACTTTTTAGATATAACTCCAAAGACATGATCTATGAAAAAAATACTTGATAAGCTGGACTTCATTAAAATGGAAACCTGATGTTCTGCAAAAAACAATGTCAAAGGAATAAGAAGACAAACCACAGATTGGGAGAAAATATCTGCAAAAGACACATCTGACAAAGAATTGTTACCCAGCAATCCTGCTTCTAGGTATTGACCCAAAGGAGTTAAAAACTTATGTCCACACAAAATCCTGTACACAGAGGTTTTTAACAGCTTTATTCATAATTGCTTGAACTTGGAAGCAAACAAGATGCCCTTCAGTAGCTGAGTGGATAAACTGTGGTACATCCAGACAATGGAATATTATTCTACTCTTAAAAAAAAAGAAAAAGAGCTATAAAGTCATGAAAAGACAGGAAGGAATCTTAAATGCATATTGCTAAGTGAAAGAAGCCCGTCTGAAAGGGCTACACACTGTGTTTCCAAGACATTCCAGAGAAGGCAAAACTATGGAGACAGTAACAAGATCAGTGGTTGCCAGGGGTTGGGATGGCGGATGAGAGGAAGAGGTAGAGCACAGATTTTCAGGACAGTGACACTACTCTGTATGGGGCTATAATAGTGGACACATGTCATTATACATTTGTCCGAACTCACAGAATGTACAACGCTAAGAGCGAACCCTAATGTAAACTACAGACTTTGAGTTAATAATGATGTGTCAGTGTGGGTTCATCAATTGTAACAAATGTGCCACTCTGGTGGGGATGTTGATAATGAAAGAGGCCAAGCATGTGTGGGGGCAGGGGTATATGGGAACTCTGTACCTGCCCTTCAATTTTGTTATGAACCTTAAACTTCTCTCTAAATAAATAAAGCCTCAATTTTAAAAAATGGTGAGGAAGGAGTAACCTAATGCAGTCATGTGGCCCATGGCCTAAACTCTGTAGGTCAGTCACCTGCAGACCAGGAAAGTGCTAGGGCTTTTGATTTTCTAGATTTCCAGGGATGAAAATTCTTACTTTCCTAGTACTGGTTTTTTGCAAAGGCTGTAGGCTTACAGAGAAAGGTACCCAAGCGTGCGGAGGAGAGACGAGCGTAGACTGCCCGAGGCCTGTACAAAGAGCTGGACATCAGAATACCTCCCAGACCCACACTGGCACCAATCACTGCCCTTCCTCAGAGGTAACCCTCTACAAGCCTCTGAAGAACGAGTATGCTAATTCCAGACAGATCAAATACCTAGACATAAAAAGAAAAACTTTAAGAAGAAAATAGAAATTATTTTTATTACTTATGGGTAGAGAAAAATGTGAAACACAGGAAAGAGTGAAAAATCTACTTTAAAATAAGTCTATATCAAAAGATACATAAACAAGGTAAAAAGGCACACACCTGAAGAGAATGTCTACAATATTGGCAAAAGCAACAGTAACAACAATAGCGGGCACAGATCTGAACAGGCAATTCACAAAAACAGAAACTCAGGTGCTCACAAGGCGTGTGAAATGATAGTTAACTTTATTAGCAATCCAATAAATGCAAATTAAAACCACAACTGAATACCATTTCATACTCATCAGACAGGCAAAAGTAAAAAGGTTGATAATACCACGTGTTGTCATGGATGTGGTATAATAAAAGTGATCCTTACAATGAGAGTATAAATTAGTGAAAGCATTTTGGGGAAAGTTCAATTCTATCTATTTATCTACCTGTCTGTCTGTCTATCTAGTTATCTTTTTTTACTTGAAGATGTGCATCACCCACAATACAGCAGTCATACTTATATCCTTTAGAGAAATTCTTGCCCATGTTAAAAAAATGTTTCCTGCATCCACTGTCTGTAAAAGCAGAAGGCTGGAAACAACCTAAATGTCCATCAGTGGTGGAATGGATAAACAAAGGGTGGCACGTGCGTGCAATGGAATGTGATACTGAAGTTAAAACGAATGAACTCAAACAACATATATCAACATGGATAAATCTCAAAAAACATGATGTTGGGCAAAAATAAGCAAGGGGGGGAAATAGTATATATAGTACCATTTTTATAAAGTTCAAAAATATGTGAAACAAAATTATGTATCATTTGTGAATATATATGTAACATATCCAAACACATATGGGAATGATGAAAATCAAAATCAGAAGCGCAGTTACCTCTGGGTGTGGAGGGAGGGGAATGGCAAGCGAGGGTCCCTGCGGGGCTTCAACAACAACTGTAATGATTTACTTTACATACAA